TTAGTTTACTATTGCAGTACATGCAGACTCTAAGCTCTTGTGTGTAGTATATTAATTTACTCAATAGGGCACTGGAGGAGGATCACTCTTCATTCTGTACTAATAAAAGTGTTGATAATTGTGGCAACACTGACACTGAAGGACTGCTAGTATTAAAGGACATTGCAGCTGCTAATCAAGGAATATACGTGTGTACAGCTACACTTGATAATGTCACTAGCTCTGTGATTCGACAAATTCAAATTGGAGGTGATTATTAAAATAATTATTTGTTACTATAATCATTAATTATAATCAGAGCCTCCTGTGATTGAGAAGAGTCCTATTAGTGTGGTTGCTCGTGATCCTCCATCTTACGTTATTTTTGAAGCAGCAGCAAGAGGAAACCCACCACCAGTACTGAGATGGTATCACAACTCAAATGAAATTGACTTCAAAATACCACAAAGTAAATCAAAATTGATAAGTACACTAATCTAATATTACATTGATTGTATTAATACAATGAATACTTGGATTAAATTCTGTATCATTATTGTTACTATATGTTTTATTTCCATGGTATTTTCATAATATTACATATTTTTTAACCCTCCTAGGATGTATTTGACCAGTATAGGGTCATTGATTATATTAGGTCCTCAGTTTGAGGATAATGGTCAATATAAAGTAGTGGCAGACAATGGAGCAGGATCAGTAGAAGCAGCTGCCAGTCTTACAATAATACTTTAGTAAGTGCTACTATTACTCTAGAGAGTAGTGAGCATAATGTGTAACAATGATGGTAGAGACAGTGTACACAGTAGTGCATAAGCCTCAGCAAAGCATCTTGCAGTGACAATTGACAAACTATTACATTATTCACATGCAGTTTTAAATAGTGAGAGTGCTCATGGCTCAAAAATTTGAGCTGCAGCTAAGCTCAAACTTTGTATAAAGCAAAAGAGCATTAATGTACATGTACATAATTCATATTTGTGTTAATTACAGGGTCAGCCTGCAATAGAGGGTCTGGTTGCTCTAATGATGGACAGTGTCTCCCAGTACATTACTGCAGGTCTCCTGATGGCTATTCTGGTGATGGATGTGAGGAAAGCCAGGAAAGTATGTGCCGTAATTTATAATTTAAATAAATTTATTTTAATTTTTAACAGCACCTCCTTCTACAATCCCTACTACACCTCTTCCTAGTTCTGGTGATTATTATTATTCTGGTGATTATTACTATTCTGGTGACTATTACTATTCTGGTGATAATGAGAATGATTATAAAAGAAAGAAAAGAGGTAATTCATTCACATTATGTATTAACAGTAATGTACATCTAGTTACTGTAGCTGTGACAATAATAGCTTTAATCATTATTATTATTTTTATTTTCATAGGTGTTGCATATTCGCAGTATGATTATGATTTTACTGACATGTCGGTATCATCAAGTTGTAAAAACTTTGGGAAAGC